ATAAGATATCAAATAATGACTATCACATATGAAATTCTATTCTGAAGAAAAAGATTGGTATATTATTATATTCACTTTGCTTTATCATCCTGTCCACTTGATTCTGCAAGTTTCACATACGAGATAGCAGAAAGTGGAATTTATTCTAAAAATTGATAACAAATAAATAATACAATAAATGGTTTAACAAGTTCAAAACTGATTTCTTATTTTAGAAGTAGTAAATGTAAATGTTCGAATAATTTTTATTGATTGGAATTTATCAGTGATTTAATTCTGTAGTTTGTCAATTCTTGTAACTAAATTAGAAGCACGATTAAACGAAGATGTTACTCTCGTTTAATATAAATAATAATAATCCTAATTCAAAACAAGCTATACAAAAATTTTTTATTTGAATAAACTCTCATTCAATGAAAGAAAATTTCAAATAAATAAATAAATTAATTAATTAGATAAGAATTTTCCAATTACATTAATAATAGCATTCTTAAAGGACGGTTTAAATCAATTGATTGATTGATTTATTACACGATCAGGAATCAAGAAAGCCACCTAATTCCTTTTCCAGTTGATCAACATCCATATTATCATTAGGTATAACAGCATGTTGACTTGCTGCGCCGTATTCATACAATGAATTACGGTTAGTTTGCTGGCGCTGTTGTGTTATTGTATCACGATCGGGAGCAGATAAACTGTAAAGAATTTGTTGGTGAACACATTTCTCTCTAAAATGCAAGATATGTGGAGAGATCTACATATAAGTAATATGTATGTTTACCTAGCTTTACGTCCCAGTTGTGCACCATTTAAATTCATCTCTGCTTGTTTGGATGCTTTGAATGACATAACTTCTTGTGCAATCATTCCTACCCAAAAAAGTTTTGTAAGAATGTACTATAAAGCGTCACATAACAGCTATTACAGTACATACAATATCTAATCTTAAATATTCTTACTTTTCATGTCCTCTATTGATTCAACGCTTTCAAATGAGAAATCAAACATACTTGGATGTTCCGGCTAAAGATAGTAATTAATAAAATTTCGAGATTGATAATTATTAATTATCATCACTCACCTCATCTTCTTCATCATGATAAGCAGCCAAATATGGATGTGCTAGAGCGCCTTCAACTGTTATCCTTGCTGCCGGATCAAATTTGAGCAATTTCTCCAACATATCGAGTGCTGAATCCGAAATATAATTAATTAAAAAGATGTATTAAAAATGTTTTTGTCTGTTAACTTAATTACCTAATGGATTTGCTCTGGGATATAATTGCGAAAAAGGGATTTTTGGCATTCTTGGTAAGCTTCGAATATATACTTGAGCCTAATATAGTGTTAAAGATTTTTAATATATATATATATATATATATTATTGAATTATTAGTTATTATTAATTATTTGATTACCCTATCACTTCCAACCCTTCGAAGTGTTTCTTCATCAGGCGTTCCTAAAATACCCAGAATTTGATTAAGTTGGTCAACGTAATCTCGGCCTTTGAATAAAGGTTTTCCACCAAGCATTTCAGCAAAAATACATCCAACCGACCACATGTCAACTACAAATTTGAATTCAAAAAATAATTCAGTACACGCATAAAAGAGAGAATAACAGAAGAGAAATCCTTATAAAAATTTGAGACATACTTGCTTTGGTGTAGTTTTGAAAACTCAGCATGATCTCGGGAGCTCTGTACCATCGAGTTGCAACATATTCGGTCATGAAGCCGGCGTTGTGATCTGGTGAATCTGAAAATCCTCGAGCCAAACCGAAATCGCAAATCTAAAAAAATAATTATATAAAGAACTTTGGCAACTAAAATGCTTGACAAATGAATTTACCTTCAATTCACAATCTGCATTAACAAGTAAATTACCTAAAAATTTCAAGGAGCCATTTATATTAACAACTTCATTTCGAACTGAAATTTACATGTCAAAACAATTAAAACTTACCAGGCTTTAAATCTCTATGTAATACATTAGCGGAATGAATATATTTTAATCCTCGACAAATTTGGTATATGAAATATTGAAAATGTGCATCCGTTAAAGGTTGTTCAGATCTTATAATCTGATGAAGATCTGCTTCCATCAGTTCTTGAAAAAGGTAACTTTAATATATACATATGTATATGTATGTATATATATATATATATATATAAAATTATAATAGAGAAATAAAATTTAAGTTTGATTATACTCAACAAGAAAATAGTTGCGATGAATGCGTTGATTTATGCGTTTTCTTTACATTACATTTCATTGAAATCATGGACATTGGTGATATCCATATCCAAAATTGAAGTTATCTATAAATAATAGAATCTTACATCAATATGTTGAATTTCTATTCATTAATAATCATTTATTCTTATCAAGAATTTTCATACATTTTCATGTCCATTAAAATGTTTTAATAGTTTTACTTCTCTTAAGGCACGCTTTGATAAAATATTTTTATCAAATACTTTGGTGACTTTTTTAATGGCAACTTGTTCGCCGGTTTCTGTGTTTTTAGCCGCGCTGACGCGAAAGAGAAAAAATGCGTTATTGATATAATAGTATTGAAAAAGTGTTAAACGTGAAAAGAAAAAACTCACCAGACTACACCATAAGCTCCTTGTCCCAATTCACGAATAAATTCATATTTTGAATCAACTAGGAATTGTTGATTAAGAACCGGAAAGGCATGATAAGGCATAATTATCAGCGATTTATTAATGGGAAAAATGTGTTCGCGTATATGTTATATATTTGGTGGCTCGGCCAATAAATTTGATTGTGCAATACATTCTATTATTAGAATTTTCAGATCATTTTTGAAGATCCATTTTATTCGATATTGCTC